ACAAAGCACAATATGTTACTTATTACAGTATCCACAAAGAGTCTGCAGAATGAAACTTCCTGCCATTTGCTTAGGTATTTGCAGAAACCGTTGTTAAAGTGTTACCGAAATATCGGATCAGTGACTCTCTAAGACCGATTTGTAGGCATTAGAGAGCAAGGCATTCTTTTATTGCAGCACCAGGCGCACACGTGAATTGCTTTGCAAAGGTGAGCGCACCCCAAAGTAGGGAGTGGCGTTCTATATACAATGAAGTGATACGTATTCATTATTTTTCCTGAGAAGTAATTAACATATGCATTGGGGTTTCCTGGAACTCATGAATATATTTACATGTCCCTCCCACCTGTGCAGTTATGTTTAGTGGTGGTCTAAAGGGGTCGTCTGGTGTCATTGATAGTCTTCCTCAGCATGCCCGCTGGTTGACCTCAGTACTTGTGCATGCTTCCAGGGGTCTTCTAGCTGGCTTGCATACCACCTTTGCTCATTAGGGTAGTTTGTTCTACTCCTGCTCCGTTTATCTCCAAAGACAAGGTCTTATTTGTTTTATTTATTACCTCACTATCTTCAAGTTTCCTTCGCTTCACAGTAGTGCTATCCTCCCGCTATCCTGCAGCTGTGTTTGCGTAGTTCTAGGGATTGCTTCAAGGTCTTGTTCTATTCTTTATTTCATTCTTTTAGCTTACAAAAGGCTTGAATGGACTGTGACTGAAATGCTAAAATTAAAATAGTCCTGTATGTTTTCTTCCCAAGGGAGAGATTACATCATGTGACCTCCTTTTTGCCCATCTCCACGGCTACCCAACATTGGAAGAAGTGGTTGGGCTCCACATAAAGGACTTGATTCCTTCTCTGCAGATCCCTCCTCTAGGCAAAAGAATCCCAAAGGTATAGTGTAAGCTCCAACCATGGTCTTCCATACTCTTCCCGTTTGGGTGCACGCTGTTTTACCTCCTTATGTAACAGAAGAAAGCTTTTTCAGAGAGAAGTGTACGTCCCCTGAAAAAGGAAATGCTGCTTATCTGTGGAGCTGCTGTCTGAATATTTCCTAGCTAGGAACAAGACCATGCCCCGACGTCTCCCTCTCAAATCTGTTCTGGTGAAAACACTCTTCTCTGATCCTAGCTTTTTATGGAACCGTGCTGTCTCTGTCAGCACGTTTCCTAAAATTCCTCTGATTTCTTTACCCAGTTTCAGTCCTGTCTGAGGAGTGAAAGTCTAAAGAATACCTAGGTTTTACAAATGCCATGAAAACGGGCAGCTGCATCGTTGAAAGAGGCCTTATTAATGCGTTATTTGCTGAAAAGCTGCAGTATGGATTTTCCTGGTCTTGATCATCAGCATATTCATACAAGGGTTCAACACTGGATTCCAAATCCTTAGAAAACCAGACTTTGTTCACTTTTGTTCACTTTCATGAACCATATTGGTTCATTTTTCGTTTCCTGCTCCTTTTCCCTGAGAACTTTCCTGTGTAATTTTATATGAGTACTGGAATACTGTTAGTTAGAGGTTTTCTGTGGTTTGTTTGATTTTTGTTATTTTTTTTTCTTTAATTTAGAACCTCAGGATCCAGCGAGCCGTAGGCCGATCCAGAGAGCATAACTTGTTTCCTCTCAGTTTGAAGCTGCAAGTAAGCCTTCTGGAGGAGGACCAGGTGGCAGTGCAGAAAGGTGGTGTTCCGCAGACCAAAGAAGGTGGCTCTTTCACAGACTATTGTTACTCTGCTACGGTCGTGGTTTTCTCTGCCATCTGTGGTCTTATTACTGTCCAGTCAGATGGAACCATCTGTGGCATCAAGGATAGTTTTGCTTTAATGCTCTTTGGCTATGAGAAGAAAGAACTGTTGGGAAAGGTAAGGTAGGAGTTTTAATCCCTCCCAAAAGACTGCTATATCCAGCAGCATATCTGTTTGACTTGTAAAGTCCTCTTTTATGCTCATTTCTGTCTGTTACAAAACCCCTGTGTTCCCTGTGTTCAGCGAGTGAGTTGTAGGATGATATGCAAATTCCCTTGCTGTAATTGCTCGGTCTTGCAGTGTGAGGAGCTAGTATGGATTCCGAGTCTATGTTCTCCATCAGTCATGCAGATCACTTTTGCCTGGCTATTCATCAGAATCAGCTCCACAAACACGGGCTGTTAGCATTTGCCCTCAACCTGTGAGAGTCAGCTTAGCTTTATAAGGTTTCGTTCTGTGTTTTAGAATGTTACGTTCCTGATCCCTGGTTTCTATAACAACATGGAGAGAAACAGTGACTGGTCTTTGCCATTACCTCCTCTTGACAACTCCATGGGGACAGAGAGTGAGCGCATCTTTGAAGATGTTACTGCTTGCCGTACAACTGGCTCTGGCTGCTGGAACAAAGGTAAAATGAATAGAGATGAGAAGCTTGCCTGTGAACATGGGAACATGCTTTGTAAAAGCCATGTACCTCCATCCAGTTTTTAAATTGGATTTCCACTATAGCCTAAGGTGAACAGAATTGTTCACCTAAGGTGGTGCGTCTCTCATTGTTGCTAAGAAGATGAAACAATATCCAAGTTGGAAATTATGTTGTTAATAGAGAATGCTTTGTACTTAACGACCGTTTCCCTTTCCCTCCCCCCCGTTAGGATCTTTGAGTATTTTAACATGTGTAAGATATAGCTTTTTGTGACAGTATTGCAGCAGAGCTGTAGATACTTACGACTAATATTTTAAGGGAAAATTCCAATATTATTCTGAATTGGCATATGTTGCTGGCGAATAGTCAACGTTGCTGTGGTGGTCCAGTTAGGAGGCATCGCATATTCTTCTGAGGCAGCTTGCTGCATTTACAAAGAATTTATCAAAATTTTATCTCGCTGAATAAACAGAAGCAAGGAAGCCTCATGTCTCCAAACCTGTCTTCCAGCTAGCTTTGCCCAAAACAGAGGGCACAAGCAAATGCATACTTTCATCTGTATCACGAGAGATGTTTTATGCTGGTTTTGTCTCCTTGTTGTTTTGTGGGGGTTTTTTTCCCTCTTTTCTTTTTCTCTTTGCTTAGAAATGCACGTCTGCATTGAAACCAATGAACACTGCTGGAACGAAGAAGATTTTGTAGACAGTGTGAATTTCTTAGGTAATTCTTTGAAGTTATGCCTCTAGTCTAGGAGTAATTCAGTCCTTCAGTGAGGAAGCATCGTTGGCACTCAGCCTTTACTGAACGGAAGGATGATTCTAGATTTGAATCTAGATTTGTTCACTCATTAACAATACTTGGTTTACTTCATCTTACAAACTCGTGTTTTTCTCTTTTGATCTTGTCTTATTCTGTATTTTAAATGTGTTTAGACTGTATACTTTTTGTCTTGCAATTTCAGTCAGTTATGTAAATACAGTCTAAACCTCTTTGTTTTAAGTGTTTGGAATGAGGAGTGTATGTGTGCCGGGCTTTTTTTTTTTTTTGCTGCTGCTGCTGGTTTATGATCACTTTGTTTCCAGACTTTGTATGGTCATTGGCCTTTTTTTTTTAAGTCTCTGAACTTCAATCCAAGTAGCTAACTCAGGAGGCTAATACTTGTCCAAGAGCTTTGATAGGAAGGCAAATTTTAGCAGCACTGAAACATTTAGATTCCTGCATGTGATGACTTCTCAGGCCAAAGTAGAGCGGAGTGCTTGTATTTGGACCACTTTGCCTTAATCATTAAGTCTTTTATACTCAGTTCCTTCGGGATGAGACAGACCAAGGCAGTTCCAAGATTTGTTTTAATCACTGTAGTCTCTGAAGCCTAAACGTAACAGGCTAAGTTGGTATGGTTTTGTTTCTTGTTTCCTCCAGACAGCAGCTTCTTGGCTGCATATTTAGCAAGCCTTCTGTCAAGAGATGAAGAGCAGAAGTCGGAACGAAGGCACAAAGACAACGGATTAATACATGATGAAACTAAGCAAAAGAATGGGACTAGTTTATTGTCTACTCCCTCACCTCCTGAAGTGGTATTCACACCCTCTAACAGGTAGGCATTTCGCAGACTACATGCTCACTGTGAAAAATGAAGAGCTGTGGTGGCAATCACCAGCAAAACCTATTTTTTCACCTCTGGGATGTCTGTGGGAAGGTGTAACGAGAGCCTTCCGCACTTTGCTGTCTTTAGAATCTGAGCACTATTTGCAAGACAGGTTGAGTTTTGCCTACCTTAGGTTTTTTGTTTAGATCCGTACAACCTACATTTGTGACGTTACAGGGGACCAAATGCCTCGCCCAGGCTAGGGAAGGTGATTAGGCTCTATCTTTGTTAGATCAGAAACAGCAGACGTTTATCTCCTTCCAGGGCACGCACCAGCTGGCGTTGCACTGAAGGCAGGTTACCTGGAATGAATTCTAAATATTATTCCTTCCAGTGCTCAGTGTAACTGTTGGGTCATCCATTAAAACAGGGTACTTTTACTTAAGTCCAGCCATTTTTATTGTACCTTTCTAGGTCTTTTTTCCTGTTAAAAGGTTAAAAATTCTGCACAAGTACCTATATGAGGCACATTGTTTATCTTAAGTCAAATCATAAGCCTTCCACATTAACAGTGCTAACCCTCAGAAGATATTTGCTGCCCTTTTTAATATATAGACTGTCCAGCACAGCTCTTGCTGTTTTTTAGAGAGACTGATAGTCTTATTGTTTCCTTGTGCTCTCCTGGGTTTATGTCTCTCGTATCATACTTGGATTGCAAGTGCTCTGCTGCATGGATTATTTTTCTACTCTGCATTTTTACTAATAGGAATGTTTGCAAAATACCTTGTGCTATGATCTTCAGTGAACCATGGTTGAACTGGTGGATAGGGACACCCATCTTCAGTTGGACAGACAAGGGATCTTCTGTTTTCAGGACTGGAAGTATCCTGCCATGTGTATTGGCTTTTTGTTATGGTAAATAATTTATGATATGTATTTAGAAATTAAGCTAGAGAAGGAAGTAATCCATAGGGAATCAAGAGTGCCTTTGGCCAAAATGGGGTTTGTTAGGATTTTGGATGCCTGTGCCAACAGCTTTCTGCCTTTTTCTTTTAAACTTAAAAATGAAACAATTGGTGCAGGTTTTAAACAGTGACCATGGTAATGGAAGAGTGGGTAGTATACAGTATGACAGTTTTCTTGTTCTTTTGTCATCACAGTATCACTAATAACTTTGAATCCTTGCAGTGAAGACAGCATTGTTACTGATGGGCTGTCAGCCCACCACAGAGAGCCTTACACTGAACTGGCTTGACAGAATCAGAGCAGTGGAACAGTGTAGAACAGTGGGAGCTGCAGAATCAAATAATTCTCAAAAGATGCTCTCTGCAAGGCTCTCTCCCACGTCATCTGATTCAGAACAGTTGGAGTTAGGTCAGAACATGAAGATTCCAGGAAGAAGCAGTGATAGTGCAGTATCTGGTGCATCTGAGAATCGAAATGCTGGTGAGATTAGTATCTTGCCTAACCAGTTACAAGTTCATCAGAAAGACCTCAAAGAAGTAAATTGTGAGCAGATCTGTAGGTTACCGTATGAAATGCTGAAGCATCAGCATTCCGCTGATGCCTGGGGACAAGCTTCTTCAGTAAATATTGCCTGGTCCTCTTTGTTCTAGGCTAGAAAATCTAAACACTGCACCCTATGGCCCAATTAAGCTGCCTTCAGATGTTACTTGTAACTCACCTGGAACACCAACAAAAGATGAGCCGTGGTTTGGGGCAACATCAGACTGCAGGCAAGACTTTCAAAGCCACGTGGTTACAGGGCAGCTGTCAAAAACAAGCTTGATGTGTGATGCAAAACATTCCAGCCTTGAGCACGTTGTTGTTGAAAACTGCCTGCTAAATGATGCTTCATCCTTCCTTGCAAATGGAACAAATACTATCTACGGTGTTTGTTCAGGAAATAAAATGGGTTGCAGTGCTTCTGCACCAGGAGTTGCCACAACCTCTGAAGATGTTAAAGAATCAGACACTGAGCTGGACTGTATTTGCTCTGGTCTTGAGGTACTGGGTCTGAATACTGGTGTCACGGGAAGCTCTGACAATTGTTTAGGCATTACTGCAGCTCTTGTGGGAACATCCTCCTGTGATGCAGTGGGCTTGACTGTAGGCGATGTGCTAACTGAGGAAAATGGTGCCTTTTCAACTGGGCAAGAAAAGCAGCTGCTGAATGGTGTTGCCATAGAAGACAGTTCTGGGTGGCTGGCCCCCCGAAGGCGTTTAGAAAACTCTGAAGAATCCTCCAAAGCATTTCTTGAGAAGCCTGAAACTCTTGCAGAGACTGTGGTGGACAATATTAACAGAAACCCACTGAAAATCAAAGGCAGTCCTGAAGACTGTCAGTTGCACGGGCAGCAAAATATGGAGAGAAAAGTAACATCGACCCCGGTGAAAAAAGGAGGAAGGCTGAACCCAGCAGCTCCTTTGGCCTTGGAGATTCTGGAAGGCAGCTATGCTGGGAATTGCTGTCACAGAGATGGTTCACAATTAAGTAAGTTAAACCTATTTCTCCCCTTCCCAAAACTCTTACCAGGATGCTCTTTTTCACCCACATTTTTGCAGAAGGCAGGCAATTCTGGTTAGAATAGTGGAGAGGAAGGAAGAAGCTCTAGCATCTCGAAGGAAAAAATGGTATTTAAGTCTACTGAAGAAGGTATTGGAAAAGCAGGTAGTATAAAAGACAAGGTTAATAAGAAATTAATCCAGACTGAATAGTTTGAAATATTCTCAAAATACAATTAAAAGATTTGAACCTGATAATTTTTTCTGAACAGAAAATATAAATTCCGTTGTAAAACTTGTATTTAAATCATGTAATGGAAAGTTCGCTCACTCCTTCAGCTGGGTTCTGTGTCTTGTATAAAAATGCAATTTTAATGTAATTTAGAATAACAACATGAAATTAATAGTCACAATTGGACAGTGACAATAGTTTCTGCCGGGGGGGTGGGAACTATGGAGGTAGCTTCCAAGCATCTCTAGAATAGCTGTGCTTTTGTCAGCCCCTTTGATGACTGCTTACTGTAGGTGTTCCCCAAATGAATAATGGAGGAATTCGCTTTGCTAAGAGCTCATAATTCTGTCCTAAAATGTCTGCAGTCTCGTTCAATGCTTGTTTCATTCTACCATTTTAACTTCCTCACCTGTTTCTACAGGCATACTCTTTGAAGTGAAACGTGTGGAACTGCAGGACCCTGCCATACTTTTCTGTGTCTGGGTGGTGAAGGACCTTCTACAGAGCCAGAAGGAAGCTGCAGCAAGGACTCAACTTCTGCTCTCCAGTCTAGGAAGGTCTGCCCACTCTAGTGCAGATCTTTCTACACATAGTCTTGGAAAAGTAAGAAATCCTGCCATTGTGTGATATCGAGCATTTCTGTCCTTGTTTTGATTGTTAGGCTGAAGCTAAAGTCAAAAAATAATGTCATGAAGTGGTGGGTGGATATTGCTGTTTCTTTGTTTCTTTATTTTTATGTCAAAATAAATGTTTCTTTGCTGTAGAAAGGACAAGTTGCTATTTTGTACCAGTTCTGGTAGGTGTGTTTGGCTTAGTGTAGTTACCTTTCCAGTTTGAACAACAAAAGCACCTAAGTTTAAATTTGTTCCTTAGGCTGGTTTAGGTACGTCTACAATAGAGGTTTGCACCAGTGTGGTGAGATTATCTTTTAAATCAACGTAATCCCACTGGCACCAATGGCACAACATTATTAAAAACAGAAATACTAGGCTGAAAACTTCCCTTGACTGACTTGTGTCAACAAAAGAAAACTGCGGTTTTGAGCTGCCTCCTGAGGTGCTGTGTTCGGGGTGGTGTACGGAAAGCTGCCACCACATAGCTGAACAGCTGGTACGTGTCACTGCCACAAAACCCAAACGCAGAACCGCTCGGGCCTGCATTTTGGTCAGAAGTGAGATGTAAAACTGACAGCACTTTGACCAAGGCTGTAGAGAAAAACGGTATCTTTGATCAACTGAAATGGGTAGCAGTGATCTGCTAGATCCCTTGCGTAAAGGTATGCACTCCCTAGCTCTTTGCATAGCTGGATCTTATGATGACCTTAACAGAGAAGCACATACCTATTTAGATATTGCACGTGTAACGTGTACGGTGGTGGCAGTTCCAACCTACAGGAGACTCTAAGGAGCTGCTGTTTACTGAGATGTCCTGTGGATTAGACATGTCATTTTCCTTCCCTGCCTTGCCTGTAATCAGTGAGCTGGAAGATAAAGCAGATATTTGTGTGAAAAGCTTGGCTATTGGCAAAACTTGCCATTTGGAATATTTTTTTATGAGACCTTTGGGAGCTGAGTAATAAGGTCGCTCTTGTTTTCCTTTTAGAAAATCATCTTCCATGTACATGCACGTGTATGTCTAAATATGAGCAGTTCTGACCATTTCATCTATAACTCCAAATTTCACTGTTCCGAACAAAGGCCCCTGTGAGACTTGTGTTTCCTCTCAGTATGGAATACTGTGTATGTCATAAAGATGTTCTGTCAGGCATTTTAGATGCCACCTTTGGTGGAGAAACTAAATAATCGCTAAGACAAATGACCCCAAGCCCTATCCTCAGAGTGAGAAAAACTTGTGTTGTGTTTAATTCCTCCTGCAGTGTTGCAGGCCTTGGTAGGAAGGCACGGGGTGTTTCTTTACTAGGGATTTTACTGGGGTATTCAAAGTTAGTTAGGAGAGCATGCCTCAAACTTGTTTGCTCTTCCTACGTGCTAAGAGACCAATCTACAGAACTAAAATGCTGTCTTAGCGGAATGGTCGGTAGACACTGGTAATTTAATATCTTTTATATACTAACTCTTTTTAGGCTACTGAGGCAAATAGAAATCACCAGATTTATAGACAGGGCTTAAAGCAGCACCTTTTTAGTTCTGTCCATCTAGAACACACTTACCTGGAAAAATTACAACATTGAAAGTAACCTGCTTTTTACTCATTAAATAAAATTATCATTTGGTGATAGACCACATTGAATTCATTTTCCTACTTGCACAGAGAATTTTGTGCGGGCATCTAAGGTGCATATGCTTCTGTTTTCTTTCCCTGTCTCTGAAGTAAGCAGTATTTGTAGCTGCTGAGGCCTGACTGTTGACTTAACTTGTCTTGTACAGTGATGGTTACATCAACATAGAGTTCTTGCTATCAAAACCAAAGATCACTCCTTTTAGCTGTTCTTGCAGATGCATACTTTCAGTATTTACGTCATTTTATAAACATGATTCTGTGGCTTGCTCATTTTTTTTCTTGGCTTTTTTTTTTTTTAATCTGTACCTAGGCCATCAGATCAACTGTACTTTTTGAGAATTCCCAAAGAGCTGAAGATCTTGAAGCATTAAGGGCATGTGAGGGAGAATACACAAAACATTACGACACTCTCAGTCTTATTGGCAAAGGATCTTTTGGCTTTGTCTGGACTGCCAGGGGCAAGAATGATCACCAGGAGGTTAAATATTTCTTTTATATCTCATTGCAATAATTGTTTAGGATGAAAACTGAAAGGTTAGAGTGTTCATGTTCTGCCAACACCACACCATTAAAAGCTGCTATTTGGTAGTTTGGGTTTTCCTTTGTTTAAACAGAAATCTGAAATCATGAACTTCATGGAAACAGGACAGCAAAATGTTCCAACTGATGTAGTACGTGTTACCTGAGGCAACAGGCACAGAATGAGACTGACCACATAGTTGATCTAACCTTTCAAAAGCTGAGCAGAATTACAGGCTTTAGTCTTCTAAAGAGAAAGACAAACTTCAAAGTCTTTATCATGCCACGACTCCAGAACATGGAGTAGACACACTGAGGTTACGGGACCCTCCTCTTTATGAGCAGAAGTGTTTTAGGTGTCGAGAGGCAAGCTCCAGCATTTCTCTGCACAGATGTTAAGTGCTCATTTCCCTCTGCTGTATCCCTATGCTAGAAGTCACCAATGCTGTAATTGTGTTGGTGAGAGAGCTGGCCTGCCGAAGCCTCTGGAATTCAGAGCATCAGTAAAAAGGAAATAAATATATTCTATTTCTGTGCATCATTTGGCTTCTAAGACTCAGTTAGTTGAAACAAGTTTAAAGATACTATAAGCAAGGCACATTGAGTTACTTCTGACCTTCTAGTAATATGATTCACTGACATTTTTCCTGGAGAGTAACTTACCAAACACTTCAAGCCATAATTTTGCAGGCGATGCTGAGTGCTGTTGTCTGTGTAGGTTGTTGTAAAGTTCATCTGGAAGGAGAGGGTGCTGAAGGACTGCTGGGTAGATGATCCTGATCTGGGGAGACTTCCTCAAGAAATTGCAATCCTGTTGAAGCTGCAGCACCCCAGGATCATTAAGGTACAGTGAACTCGGAGTGAATGTGGTATGAACTGCATCAAATGGCTCCTATGAATACTTGGTGTCTCATGTTCCTCTTCAGGAGTGAGGAAATGTCCTGCATTAAATCTACCTTTTCAGGGCAGAAAGGAACCTGCCTGTCCTGCTTTGTTTTGGAGGGTATGTTACAGCAGTCTGTCACTTGCTTCGACGCTTTTACCCCAAGCAATTGGTGTAAATGTAGATCTGAAGATGTGACTCAACAGAAAAAAAGCCTGTACGTTATTTCAAGATGATAGGATGCATATCCTGGAAGTGTGATGTCACATCTGAACATGTGCTAGTTCAGTAAATAATCTGGATACATATCTTGATTCCTCTTTGTTTTGGGGTTGTTGGTTTTGATTGATGGTTTTTGGTTTTGCCCCAGGAAGAGAATTCCTCTTGGTTTTGTTTCTGCTCTCAGTTTTAATCATGCTGTCTTTTCAAGGAACATTTGTGCTCAGTGAAATGAGACTTCAAAGATTATAATATACGTTGATTAAATCTCCAAGAGAAGAGCAGTGTTAAAAAAAAAAAAAAAAAAGGCCAGTTGGAGGATGAAGCACATGATTAAAAGAGTCTGTTATTTATAGGTGCTGGATGTATTTGAAAACAAACACTTCTTCCAGCTGGTGATGGAGAAGCATGGACCTGGTCTGGATCTCTTTACATTCATTGATAACCAGCCAAATTTGGATGAGCCATTAGTGAGCTATATATTCAGACAGGTGAGAGCTGTGGGTGTGGTGGGAATGTGCAGTTGCTACCTGCAGGTAAGATTTGGTTGATGGAAGAACAGGACCCTATTTCACTCCAAAGAATTACTGGCTAATCAGCAGGCATGCTGAATGGGGGTCCTGCTCAACACCTGCAGAACTTTTCCTCATTGTTCTGCAGGGCTAGTTTCTAGTGAAAGGCTACCTGCAGAAACCTTTTTAGGGTTTACTTAGCAACTTGTATCAAGGAAACCTTTCCAGGACCTCACTCCATGGGAGGATTTCCTCTAGAGTCGTTGCCTCTTGGCTGGGGTTGTAGCAGCACACACCCTTCACCAGGAGGCCTGTTCAAGCAGGTCACATTTCCTCTGTGGGAGGAGGAAAGTGCAAGGAGGTTGCCCCAAGCCTCACTAAAAGCCACGCTTTCACTTAGGTCAATGCTTGGTTTAAATTTGTTACGGGGTAAAGGGCTCTCCTCTTTTTAAGGAAATTAAAATCAAGAAATTATCTTGGATTTTAATGTGGCATAATGCAAAATAACTCAAGGTAGTTTACTGAGAGTCAGGAGCTTGCCGGAGAGCTGAATTGTCCTTTGTTCATTGAGTTAACCACAACAGCAGTCCCCAGGTAATTCTCCCTCACGGTTTTGGAGTAAATTCCTTGCTGTAAGGTATGCAAGAACTACTTCGCACCCACGGTGTCCACACTCCCCTCGCCTGGGGTGCTGATGGAAGATGGTAGCCAAAGTGCCGCACATTCTCTGTGTCTGCTGTGCAGCATTGCAACCTATGGGCCCTGCAGACTTCTGACGGATAAGCCTTTTCCTAAACCAGCCTTGAGTCTGTAGGGGTGCTTTGTCACTTCACACCTGTGCAGTATTTCTCTGCAGAGGGAGCTTTGTATTATAAATAGAAACCTTTCTCCCTCAGCCATCTGCTTTTCTTCCTCAAATGTATTGTGGTAGGAATCACGATTGTCTCCAAGGTGATATAATGCTGATGCTATTCCTAATTATGGCACTATAGCATGAATCGTGCAGAAAGAGGAATGGAATTTAGGAGTGACTATATTATTTATGCCAAGCTTCACTCTTAAATGCTTTGTTGTCATGCAGTATCGGAGGCACACAGTCATATCCCTCTGGAGAAATCAAAGGACCCTTCAAATGAAGCTGGGATAAAAATAGAGTAACCTGCAGGATTGCTGCAGCAAGCTCTGATGATTCTAACCAAAAAAACAAGCACATCGTGACTATAGCTTGCCATCTTCCTGCACAATTGTGAGAGGAAAGCAAGTCTCTCTCCCAAGAGCACTGTAACACCCTGACAGACATGCCTGAGGTCATTTCTAGTTCACAAAATTAGGATCTATATCTTGTTTATATAGTGTCAAAACAAGCCAAAATGTGGCTATGGGAACTCTGTGATGCCACGTAGATTATCCAGGACACTTCTGTGTAGTAACACTAGTTCTTTCCTCCTCTTTCAGCTTGTATCAGCTGTTGGGTATCTCCATGGTAGAAATATCCTTCACAGAGATATCAAGGATGAAAACATTGTCATTGATGAAGATTTCACAATTAAATTAGTGGACTTTGGTTCAGCTGCCTACCTGGAACCGAGCAAATTGTTTTATACCTTCTGTGGGACAATTGAATACTGCTCACCAGAAGTGCTGTCTGGCAAACCGTATGTCACCCTCTAAAAGTAATTTTTATGTCCATCTCACCAAAAGACTGTGTGTGCAGGGCTGGGATAGAGAAGCCGAGTATCTAGCTACAGAAAACTGCAGTGAGATTTAGGGCACCGCGATGACAAATTAATTGTGAAGGATTGAATGCTTACAAACCTGTTTCTGACTAGGTCTGTTGACAGGCTTTCTTGCTGGGGTCAGGTGTTTTGCAAAGCCTTGTACTAACATCTGTCCTCAAGTTCAAGAACAAGCCTATGATTTTAATTTCCAGCCTGGTGGAAGAGCCTAGATGAGTTGTGCTGTGACTTGAATGTGTCCTTTTTCCTTGACCTCTCATAATATGTACACCAGCTTGCTAACCTTCTCTTCCTACCTGTGTGCGAATGCACTCATGTGTCTCTACTGAAAGCTGCTCTTTTAGAGACGTGTGTAAGCTGTCTATTGCTGTAGAGCATCTGCACCTCACCATCTCTGTGTTTTGTACTTCTCCCACTCCCATCTTGGCTGTTCCCTTCTTTCCTACTTGCTTTCCTGCATAAATTTTTCCAGTTTGATCGTTCCTCATCTCCCCGTTGATTTTTGTGCTCCTCTGGACTCAAGGTTCTTCCCTCACAGCTTGTCTCGCTGCTCTCTTGGATTTGCTGCCTCAATCTTAGCTGTCTTTTCCCTAGTCTCTCCTTGGAGTGCTCTTTGCCTGGGGCTGGCATTCTCATACCCACTCCAGAGGGAAACCTTACCATCACAGGGTGGTAAACATTAATTGTACATGTAAGTGTGTTATCTTGCTCTCATTTCATAGCTGTTTTCACAGGTCCTTCAGGCAGCTCCTCTTAACGGGTTGCGGGAGGCGAGGGGAACCCCTGCTGGGATTGAGATGGGAGGTGAAGCAGTGCTGCCCTGGGAATTCAGCCTGTTACTGTGTGAAGAAACTGACCCTTTTTCTCAGGTGGAATCTAGATAGTTAATGTTTGTTTCCAAATAACTTTGGTTTTGAAAGGGATGGGAGGAGGTAAGTGGGATTCCACTGAAGTATCTGATCCTCCATTTAAATATTCACTTGGTAGTTTTGGCTTATGGTGAGGAATGAGGAGAGTTAAGTTCTCTCATTACCAGCTTACACATGTGGAAGTCTAGAGGCATATTATACACATGCGTCAACAGAGACTGGCTGTTCTTTCTTTTTTTCTTTCATGGAGAAGGATAATACAGACTTCTCAAAACTGCAGGAGAACCTTATTAGGATTCTCACAAACTTCCTGTGTTAAAATAAGAGTTGGAAATGAGGGCTATCGGCTGCCTTTTTGCTTTTTACCTTCTTTAGCTCATCATTAGGTATTTGCTGTCTGAGTTTATGCGAGTTTATCTCTGTGTAGGTACCATGGCCCTGAACTGGAGATGTGGTCACTTGGTGTCACTCTTTATACGCTGGTGTTTGGCGAGAATCCCTTCTGTGAGCTGGAGGAGGCCATGGCAGCTGTCCTGAATCCTCCTTGGCCTGTGTCAAAAGGTGAATTGTTTCCCATTTACTTTTCTGAAGGAGCAGATCTCTTGGGAAAGTATGAGCAGTATTTATTCCATGGAAATAAAGGGGGAAACTGGAGAAATGCTTCCAGATGTGCTCAGCAATGATTTTAAAAGCCGCTCACTGAAGCAGAGTTATCAGAGGTATCCTTCCAGGTAAGTTCTGCAGTTCTTCATGCCTACCAGGAATACAGCTATCCGCTACTCAAATTCCAGGCCTCCCGTTTATTATGATGACTCAACCTATCAGCTTGTCAAGCTTCAGTGAGGTTTATACCTGAGAAAAACAGAACAAATAATGTCTAATGGGATGGTTCGCTCTAGTGGAGAGCTGTGAGACCAATAACGGCACTCTCGTAACTCTAATGCAAGTTTTATCTCGCTCGAACTGTTGCCAATGCATGTAGACATGCAACTGTGCCAGCTTTTGGGGTGGATGACTAACATGTTAGTTTACAATTTCTGAATGAGTCGTATGGCTTGACGTCACAGGAAAAATACATAGGTTTTCTGTGGGAGGTACAGAAAGCTAATTGCATGTCAGGCTACAGAAATCTTCATCAACAGGTTCTCTGGGGTCCTTGGGAGCACTGTGATTATGAGGCTTCAGGGTGCTGCAATTGGCTGGTAAATTCGGGAAGCTTTCCCTGAACCCTGAGTGCACCTTTAACCACAGGTGTGACTGCAGGGCAAGGCCAGGCTTGGAAAGAGCGAGTCAGGGTTGCATTTGGTTCTACTTCTGTCTTCCTCGTTGTCGTAACTCTGGTGTCAGTTCTCTGTTTGCACAACCTGGAAATCTCGGATCATTCCCAGAGCTGAGCACATGTGACTAAGACTGTGGTAGAACAGTACTGCCCAAGGGATTAACGGGGAGGATTTGTAATGAAAAGCTGCATTCTTTGAATGTAAACCTGTCCTGGTTTGGCTGGGACAGAGTCAGAGCCCAGCCATGAGCAATTTTGAGTCAGCCAGGGCAGCTGACCTGAGTTAGCTACAGGTGTAGCCCATCCCCTAATGTCGTGGTCATCATAAAGGGGTGAGGTTTGCTAAGGAAGGGTGAGTTCTGGCTGAGATTTCAGATGGGATTTCTGCTTGAGTTCCTCCTGCTCCTGAGGACTGTGAGGGTCAGACATTCTAGGCCAAGAATAACTTTGTATGCTTTAGTTGTTTTGCTCTTTTATTACATCTGTCCTTGCTTCAACCTTTGGATCTCCTCTCCCTTTCCCGATCCCCTTCTCACCTGGGAAGGGGTCATCAGGTGACAGAATAACTGCTGTGGTTCAGCCCCTGTACGAGCCAAACGTAGACAAAGACATATCTTCCATTCCCAGCATTCTTAAATGCAGCCTGAGCCATTCCTCTTACTGCTGTCTCTCCACAGGTCTCATGGATCTCATGGCTGGGCTTTTGCATCCCGTTCCAGAGCAGCGCACGACTCTAGTGATGTTAGCAGAGGATCATTGGCTGAAGCAGCCTGTGAATGTGGGTGATTATACCTGGGAGGATGTGTACATCTGTGCTGAGACAGGTGAGATGGTCAGTACTGGGACTGGTGCTGCTTAACATCTTTATTGGTGATGGGGACAGTGGGATCAAGTGCACTCTCACCAAGTTTGCCAATGACACCAAGCTGTGTGGTGCAACCGACATGCTGCAGGGAAGGGAGGCCATCACAGG